CTTATAAAAGGCTAAATAAAACAAAAGTATTGGTGGTAATTTTTGACTGTGTAACTTTACAAACGGCACCTCATAGTTTTGGAGCTTTGGTCTCACTTGGGGTTGACGAGGCAGTAGACGGCGCTGACGTTGGTGATCTCCATGGTGCAGTTCCTGTTGGTGGTGAGGCTGGCCGAGTGGGACTCTGCGGTCTCAGGCATGCTGACAGCTGCTGGAGAGAAGAATCCTCTGAAGGCTGAGCTGTAAAAATAAAAGAAAAAAGAAAAGAAAAAAACAGGAGGATGAAACCAGAACACTAAAACATCTAAACTTCTTTGTAAAATAAAAAAGCTCTATCAGACAATTTTACAGAATATTTCAACTTTTTCACAAAAGAAAAACAGAAAAATACAGAAATATTTCAAAATAAAAGCACTTACTTTGGGTAGCGTTGAGATGACGGGATGCAGAGAGTCTTCTGAAAACAGGTCAGGTTTGGTTTGGAGTCTAGTCTGAAGCCACGCCCCCTGAGTCCCACCTGAGCCGCAGGTAGGCGTGTTCATCTGTTCCTACACCTGAAAGAGCGCTGAAAGGGTTGACAAAATTGTTTTTTCAGTTTAAACAAACTTTTATGGAAATATTATTTAACAAAGACAGAAATACATGATCATTAAATGATCCAAAAAAACCCAACATTTAATGTATTAAAAATGATGTCAACACAAACCTAAGTATATGTACTTTTCTAAAATCCCAACCCCAGTAATTCAATTTTTATTCCTCCCAGACATAAAAATATTCATCATCAGGGTATTTACTCCTAATTCTCTCTTTCCACCCTTGAAACTGGTTTTCTGCCCCATTTTCTTTATACCATGCTGAATAATGCTGTAGCTTTGTGCGTAACTCCAAGCGATACTCTGCTTGTTCCACAGGGTCCTCATGTCGTATCCATATCAGTACTTCCTTTTCTTGGGTGTAGTGTGAACCTTCTCCTTCTTAGTTGATGGTTTAGGTTTCTCTGGTGGAGGAGAAGTACTGGTCAGTTGTTTTCCAGTTGTAGGTTGGGGAAACACATTTTTTTGGTTGTTTGTGATGCTGATGAAACCAGTTGTTTCTCCGGTTCAACAGCTTGAAGTAACTCTCCTCTCTTTGTGGTTCTGGTTCTGCAGCTGTCTCCTCATCAGCCTGTTGTCCTTCAGCTTCAGACGTCAGCTGATCACACTGCTGTTGTTTGTTTCCAGCCGGAACTTTGTTCAGGAAACACTTCATGTTTGAAACCAGAAGTTAAGCTCCAGTTTGATTCAGAGCCAGTCCATCAGACTTGAACAGATGTCGTCTCTCCCAAAAGAGATCAAAGTTGTCCACATGTCTCACAGAGTGGTCAGCACAGAACTTTTCCAAAAAGTTATGAAAAGCAAAACGTCTGCTGATCCTCTCAGCCCCTCTTCTGGCTGTAGGAATGGGCCCACTGAGGAACACATCCATGTTGAGATTTTTAACTGCATTCAGCAACTGAATGAAATCCTTCAGGATTTCTGACTGTCGGTTCATCACTTCCTGTATGAATGATGAGCATCTTCAGAGCAGGATGTTCAGCTGTGTTTTCCAGAAACTTCTCTGTGAGGTCAGACACTTTATGAGCAAAACTCTCGACTTTTTCCTCGTTCCAGAAACCTCTGGTCTTATTCACCATTTTATCTGTGATGATCAGCATTTCTTGATTCTTGAAAGTCTCTTTTTGGACTTGCTTTGGCTTTGAGCTGCATCTGGTCTCAGGTCCCTCTTTGAGATCAGAACATGAACTTTGTTCAGACTCTCCAGTTTCTTCCAGTGGTGTGAATCTGTTTTGAAGAAACACTGTTTCATTTCTCTGGGCGTTATCAGTTGTTTTGATTACAGCCTGTTTCTGCTTTCTTCTCCTTGCTGGAGGAGAAAAAGCATTTCTCTGTAATTCTGGCCATTCATTGTCATCTAAGAGCTGAATCCTTCCTGAGAGATTTTTTGCTCTGGCACAAAGAGAGTTCCATACGGCTTCACTCTCAGAAGCAGCTTCCATCTCCTTGTCCAGTTGATCTCTCCTCTCCTTCTCACCCATTTGAACACATGTTGAGTTCTCCAAAGCATTCATCTCTTCCAAACGATGAATCTTGAGCTCCAACACTGTCACCTTTTGGAGAAGCTGGCAGAAATCCTCTTCGGTAAAGAACATCTTGAAGCTTTTCTGTACTCACTCTTACTCTCAGCAGTTGATGTTTCAAAATCTTCTCAGGTTCTCCAACAGCTAAAAATAAAATCCAATGGTCTCTACTTATTCAAGATCATCCATCATGGTCGGTGGTCACCAGCGTATTTCTGTTGTTAAAAAGGTTCTTTAGATCCAGCTGGAGTCACGCTCCTGAGCAGTCCAGTCCTTGCTCACTCATATCAGTCCACCTGCTATGGCCTTGGTCTGTCGATCTCCTAGTGGATCCTGCCAACAACGCCAACTGTTATAAAAATATTTATTTAACAAAAACAGAAATACGTGGTCCAAGATAAACAGCATGTCATGAAAACTTAGGTCATTAAGTTTTTCATGAATTACTGGCTTAAACCTAAAAGTATTATTTCCATAATACAAACAAATAAATCAGGTGAACGGAGGAAAAACAAGAAAACTAAAGAAATGCTGGAATTTTGTTCAGAAAAAGTTTGAATGAGTTTTAAGGTCTGATGTGGTTCCACAACTTCAGAGAAACCTGGAAGGTTTGTGATAAAAAAATATTACCTAAAATAAAACTAAAACATTGTTTCTCAGAGGTGCCAAAACAAACCCTGCCTGGAGCATCGAAAACTGACTCATGGAGCTCCGACAGTCCAGACAGGTTCTTCCAGAAAACCCTAAAACCACCCGAGATGGACTTTCAGTCTTTTCTTTCCTTTGTAATATTTGTGACCACAGCAGGACAGAACCTGCAGGTTCAGCAGGCAGAGCTTAGTCATTCATTCTGACCTCATGGAAACTTTCAGGATCTCTTGTAACTGACCAGAAAACACAAACAACTTAAAATATCTCAGAACTATATTTAACAGACCAAATGCCATAAACATTTTTTATAAAAAATATTAGTTAAATGAGCTCCAGCATGCAGTCAAACCTCCAGAAAGAAAAGTAACAAATTATAGAGCATCTAAACAAATAAATAAATAAAAAATCTTCATACTTTACAAAATCTGCAGAAATAAAAACAAAAGAAAAAAAACAAATAATTCCAGAAAGATATAAATGAATGGGAACAGACTGAACACAAAACTATCAAAATTAAAAAAATAATAATAATTACCACAGAAACATGCTGTTTTTATTCAAAATACTGAAAACAAAAAGCTTCAAATGTCAAGAGAATTACTTATTTTCTGTTTGTTTCATGATTTATTCTAATAATTTACTTTAAACAACTTTAACTGTTGGTTTATTTTGGATTAAATTTATTTGCATTTTGATCAACTTGGTAAAAACAAACCATGACTCGTGGTAATTTTATAGTTTTTGTTTTAGCTCCATCTTGTGGTTGAACCTCTGTTTCAGGAAGAAAACAAATAAAATCTGTTTTTACAGCAGCTAAAATCCAGCAGGTTCCTTATTTTTTGTCTCAATTGAGATATTTTGTGTGTGTTTTTCTGTAAAACATCACTGAACTTTATGTTTAGGTTTTATGTATTTCTACCTGATTCCTTCGTCGCTGAAGGAAAGAGTCAAGGAAGCAGAAAGAAACCAGGAGCTGGAATAAAGCCTTTAATAATAATAATAATAATAATAATAATAATAATAATAATAATAATAATAATAATAATGATACAAAATAAAAAGCTGATGCGGAAGCAGAAATACAACTCAAAAAGAATGAAAACTGGGAAACAAACTGAAGCTGATGAGATTGGAAACAGGTGTGTTAATGGGAACAGTGAACAGGTGAAAATGGGCGTGGCAGAACAGAGATCTGAAAAAGCAGAGAAAGAACCAAAAGCTGAAAATAAACATAAAAAAATGAAAAGAAATAACTAAAAACCACCAAACTGCTTCAGCTTTTTACTGCAGGTAAGACGCTGACTGCTCATATCGACTCCACACCGTCCCACTTCAGCTGATAAAAATCACTTCAGGGGGAACATGGTTCCAGCGGCGATCGAGGCCAGACCCGTCTTCTCTCCGATCCACTTGTTGTAGTTGGTGACTCGGGCGTAAACGCCGGGTCGGTTCTGCACGGCGCACCGGTCGCCCCAGCTGACGACGCCGAACAGGAAGAGCCTGCCCTGGACCTCGTGCACCAGCGGACCTCCAGAGTCCCCCTGTCGGAACGAGACGAGCGGCGACGGCGTTAAAGAAAAACTGATGTTCAGGAACGATCCGAATCTTTTGAACGGTTCTTTGCAACGAACGATGAGAACTCGTGTTTCATTTTTCCACCAAGACGATGAGGAACCAGCGAAAGGGGCGGGGCATAGCAGGAACAAGCGCTAAACACAAAGAGGTGTTGGCGTACCGTGCATGCGTCCTGGCTCCAGTCGGGCCGGGCGGCACAGAACATGTTGTCGGTGATCATGTCTGAGTAATAGCCCTCCTGTCTGCAGACGTCATCGGCGACGAGGTCCACCTGAGCCTCTCTGAGGTTCTGAGAGAAACGGGACGACCCTGAGGAGACGAGAGGTTCAGAAATACAACTCCTGTCCCGTTCAGCCGAGCTGATCTTCCTCACCGTGACGCTCCTTCCCAAAGCCGGCGATCTCACAGGTGACCCCCGGCTGGAGCCGGCGCTGCGGCGGCGGCAGGCAGACCGTCCTCACCCAGTCCGTCTCCTCCGAACACTTTCCCTGTTTGGCCTCCAGCTTCACAAGAGCTGCAGGGAAGGAGGTGTTCAGCAATCTGAGTCCAAAGTCAGCATTCAATCAGATTAAAGGAAGAGATTAAACAAATCACAAATCCCAGCAGGGGCGGAGCTAGAATTTTTTATGCAAGGGGTTGGGCAAGGCACCCCTTAGCAAAAAGTAGTATACTTGAAGTTCATTTTAATAAGTATACTTGAGTGAAAGTTTAAGTACCGTATTTTTCGGACTATAAGGCTGTGTCCAAAACGGCAGGACGGGTCCTCCGAAGGTCGAATTTGTCGGCCGCATA